CAAACCAGGAAGCCTTCAGTCAACAGGCTGACACTCTGTCCACTGAGCCAAACCGGGTAGGGCTGGTATAAAGTTTTGAGATAATAGAGATTCATCATTACTATGTCTTTAGGAGATGGAAAGTCACCAGGAACAAAAAAGAAACACACACACACATATACACTCACACACACACACACACACACACATACGCACACACAGGCAAAACTGTTTATTTAACCAATCAGAGGCATATATGGAATCTATGCCAGGGAAGGTCAACAATATCTCTTTTAAATGAACTTTATTTAGGGCAGTACTTCTCTTTTTGATCACCAGTTAGCCAAGCTCTTGATTTTTTTAATAAATCCCCAAACATTATGGAAATGTACTTGTGGTTTCATTAAATTACACTTAAGTTCATTTTTCATGTGGAAAATGAGCTTCAGGCTTTCGTATGATGAATCGTTTCCTCCTGTGTGACAGTGGTGGAGGAAGCTCATTTAGTGCTGCTGCAGTAGTCTTGGTTGTCTCCTATTTTACCCTGGTGATTAATAGGATTACAGTGGAGTGATCACAGCTGCCTATTTGTTTATTCCATCACTGCGGTCAGTGTCACTGCTCTTCAGGATTCTCTTGGTTTTGAAACCTAGTGTGTAATTTCATAATGTAATAAAACGTCTGTTTTGTATCATTCCCATGGCTGTTGAAGTGAGCAAAATGAACACTCTCAGAGCCGTCCAGGGTTGGGGATTTTGGTCATGTGTTTGGGAAGTTTTCATCGATATTTCTCTCTGTCTCTCCCTCTCCCACTCTCTCTAAAAATCAATGGAAAAATATCCTGGGGTGAGGATTTAAAAAAAAAAAATGGCATTGAAAAAGTAAGTAAACAAACAAACAAACAAATGAAGGCTGTGGAGCAGATGGGAAAACACCTGTGGCCTGGCTGACCGGAGGCGTTAGGGGGGGTCCCACCATAAACGATGGGAGGAAAGCGGGAGAGAAGGGACAGCGCCCAGCCAAGGGAGAACAGCCCGTGCAAAGCCGAGAGGCACGTTCAGAGAGGAAGGCCCGCAGCAGGGAAGCAGCGAGGAACCCGATGGGAACAGACCCTGACGCCCTGTGGACACGAAGCTGCCGTTCGCTGTTCCCGGGAATCCTCCCAATGCCCGGGCTTTTTTTAAGGCACAAAACTTACAGTTATTACCGAATAAAAATTAGGAATAATTAAGCTCTAAAACAATTCGCTGCAGCATTCTTTTTGAAATTAAAATGGGGTTCTGGCCCTAGACAGTTTGGCTCAGTGGATAGAGTGTCGGCCTGAGAACCGAAGGGTCCCAGGTTCGATTCCGGTCAAGGGCACACACCTAGGCTGCAGGTTCCTCCCTGCCCAGGGGCGCATGCAGGAGGCAACCGATCAATGTGTTTCTCTCACATCGATGTTTCTCTCCGTCTTTCCCTCTCTCTAAAAAATCAATGGAAAAATATCCTCAGGTGAGGAATAAAAATTTTTACAAAAGGATTCAGTTTACAAAGATGCAATTTACGTACATCTTGTTAGAAATACGCCTTTAAGCACCTTTACCAAATCAAAATCTTTAAAAGAGGATATAAAAAATTAAATTAAAAAAATAAAAAGGAAAAAGGGTATCGAGCTCCTGTAAGTAGGCTTACAATCTTGTACTGTCAAGACTTATGCTTAACTTAAGCATTTTGTTCGAGTCCAAGGGGTCAGCTCCACTGAGTGGCAACACGAATGGGAGCTTCAGGGAACGTCTTTCTGAAAATCCCACATCTCAGGGTGTACGGCCCACATCACACGGAAACCAGACTCAGTGCCTCCCTCCGCGGTGCGAGCCCAGCTCACCACCACGCCCCGACCGCCTTCACACGTGGGCCTCCGGTCTACCGTGTCCGCCCTGGACGAGAACACGACCACCCCAGCCGCAGGGCTTCCAGTCCCACCCGGTGCACACCCACCTGGTAATGTAACATGAACGTCTCCATCTGAACTCCCATGAACTTGGCTTTCACTTCAAAGTCTCCAACTTCTTCTGTTGGAGCGATTTCAAAGATAACATTTTTAAACCTGTGGAAACATAACATCAGAAGGGTGTGATTTTTATGTTCTCGTATTAAAATATCCTGTGAAATGCAAAGGAGGCGACGAACAGTGACTTCAGGAGTGACAAAGGGGTACAAGGTAAGGGTCCCAGGGCGTCTGCAGGTGAAGCCATGTGGGAAGGCTTTGGGTTTGGAGAGAAAAGTGGCACTCCCCTCCCTGCCCCCCCCCAACGTTTCCTGTTTTTGGTGCTACTACAGAATGTTCTGGTACTTAGAACTGGGTGGCACACCTTCAACCACCAATTTACCAGTGCAGCAGCCTGTGCTTGGCAACTGGCCATTAGATTAAGCCCTGAGCCACCGGATTAAGTTTGGTCATTTCAGTAAGGACATTTGCTGTCAGCAGAGGTCCTCTTCTGTCCCTTCCATTTACCGTTCTCTGGGAGAGTTATACAGACAGTCCTCGGGTTACGTGGAACTTGAAGTACGTCGTTTTGTGGCTACGTCACTATCTCCCATTTATTTATAAAAAAAAAGTTCTGTCTTTTCAACGTTTTACATATGTGCTTTATGTTTCTTATTATTTATTTACCACAAGTAAAGGTCAGGAATTGTTCTGCTTTCTTTTAATTTTTTTTACTGTCTCACTTCATGACTGCTGTGTATGTGTTCCCTGTGAGTGACGTAGGTGCTTATGTAGGTGGGTTCCGACTTACGGCGAAAACCGCGTTACGTCACACCATAGGAACGGATCTCCGACATAACCAGAGGACCTACTGTATTGTGAACAGAGCCGAGACCATGAAAGATGCAAGAGAGGCACTGAGCCCTAGCTGGTGTGGCTCAGTGGATAGAGCATCAATCTGTGAACTAAAGCAACGGTCACCAACTGGTGGGCCAAAAGGTTGGTGACGGCTGGACTAAAGGGTCCCAGGTTCGATTCTGGTCAAGGGCACATGCCTGGGTTGCGGGGTCCCGGGTTCGATTCGGGTCAAGGGCACATGCCCGGGTTGTGGGCTTGATCCCAGTGTGGGGAGTGCAGGAGGCAGCCAATCAATGAATCTCTCTCATCATTGATGTTTCTATCTCTCTCCCTGTCTCCTTTCCTCTCTGAAATCAATAAAAAATTTATTTAAGAAATACTAAGGCATTGAAAATATCTTAAAAAAACAGAACAAAACAAGAGGCACTGAGAGGCTAAGAGAGGTCACAAAATTCAGGCCCTAAAACACATGCATTTTGCTCAACAGGAAAGCCTCACAGGTCATTCCTTAAAGGTATTTATTTTATGTGACAATTTTATTCTAACTGATTTTTTTGTTATCTGGTTTCTAGGCCCATAGTAGCAAATTAAAAAGAAGTAAGAGAGGCAAATAATGGTAAGCACTTAAACAGTCATGGGAAATGATGAAGAAATGAAGGACTTGTATGCACGCATATAAGCATAACCAATGGACACAAGACACTGTGGGGTAAGGGAGGCCGGGGGAATGTCAAGGGGATGGGGGGGAGAAGGAGACATATGTAATACTCTTTATAATACGTTAAGCAATAAAACAAAATTTAAAAATATATAAAAATAAAAAAAGAGAAGAGCTGATAAATATTATGAAACGAAAAATGCATAAAGTACCCAACAAAAAACACCCCCAAAAGACCAAGATTCCCCAAATGAAACAATGACCAGAGAGAATCCAGACAATAAGCCACGTTTTAAACACACACACAATCAACCAGAATTCAAAGAAATGCAAAATGCTTAAATGAGATTCTTTTTTTAAACTACTAAGCTCCAAAATATCAAAGATTATTTTAGTATTCATTGATGGAAAGGAAGTAGTGAGATAAGTAAGCGCTTTCATACCCAAGTGAAAAATATTTTGGCAACATATGAAAAAGTTAAAAAAATTTTTCAACTAATACGAAAAACAGTATGTCAGTTCCTCAAAGAACTAACAATATAACTATCCAATGATCTAGCAATCCCGCTTCTGGGTGTACATCCGAAAGAATTGGGAGCAGGATCTCAAAGAGGCATTTCCACCTTCATGCTCACGGCAGCATTATTCACAATAGCCGAGGGGCGGGAACAACCCGAACGGCCATCGATGGATGGATGAATGGATAAACAGAATGTGGTTTATACATACAATGGAGTGTTATTCAGCCTTCAAAAGGAAGGAAATGTCACATGTTACAGCATGGATGACCTGTGAGGACAGCATGGTACATGAAATAAGCCACGCACCAAAAAAAGAAAATAAAAAAATAAGACAGAAAAGCCGTATGGTGGCTGCCCGGGGCTTAGAAATAGGAATAAATTATTTAATGGGTTCAGAGTCTCAGGGTTTTTTGTTCTTATTGTTGTTTGTTTTTAAATATTTTTACTGGTGTTTTTTTTTTTAGAGAGAGAGGGGAAGGGGAGAGGGAGAGAGAAACATCGATGTGAGAGCGGAACAGGGCCAGAGACTCAGTTTTACAAGTTGTCTTTGTTTAGAAACAGAAGAAATGGAAGAAATGCCTTCCTGTTTTAAAGAGGGAAAATTAAAATGGGATCCACACAGCAGGTGTGAGAATGTCCCGAGACAAATGTTTCACAAACAAGGAAAAGAAATACTTCCTGCTCATAAGAGACAATTAGCTCTGAGTATTAGGTCTAATTCTACACATAAATACATATACATAGATAGAAAAACAGAAAAATTATCATCCTAAGAGAAGTGAAGGCAATAATATAAAGATTTGAATGCATAAATTAAAAACAAGTAAATGCATAAATTTTAAAAAATCAATGTACGAAATGAAGTTAAAAAGCAAATACTTACTGATTCACTTGTAGGTCCTCGATTTCCAGAAGAACCCCCTTTTCATGTAATCGTGCGGCCGTGTATTTCAGAGAAATCTTTTTGCTTTTCTTCCCTTTCATTTCCCTCGGCTTCTTGGAGACCCTGTAAAGATGCCATCACGTCACTTTCTATAACTATCTACTTTGATTCTGTCGGTAATTCGAAAATATGGGATCAGAAAACGAACTTCCCATCCACAAGGGGAA